TTTTCCGAATCAATTGGGGACTGGGGTTGTCCGGATAACTGATATTTCGGATAACTGATTTACGTACGAAAAAATAGTTTAACGTATCCAATGTCGAAATTTTTATCCGTTGCGTGTCGCTTCGCGTTGAATTTTCGTCGATGTTAAGCCTAACAAAGACTATTGTATCGTTAAAAATTATTTTTTTATTTTGTACAAACAAAATAAATATATTGAAAAATATAAAAATAATAAAAAATCATACTTCAGATGTTAATTTAGTATCAAAAACGTAAAATATTTGATTAGCCCAAGAAATAGCCAAAGATTGAAGCGCCACAGCACTGGCGAAAATTTAAATTTGCCGACTGGAATTCTTTCGGATGATTGACTTTCGGAAAATCGACGCTCTACTGTAAAACCAAATTTTCATAGAAATTATTGTGATATGCAAAAAATTATATAAATAATTTCTATGAAAACTGATAAAGCTTTCAACAAGCATGACAAGCTGCTAAAATGTAGTAGTGCAATGATTCTTCACTGTTGAGTCACAAAACTTATAGGGTGCCACAAAATTTAAAAAAAAATGCTATTTTTGTCTACTTCATTTTGAGTACTTTTATAAAAATACAGATCTCCAACATTATTTATTTGTATAAATGAAAAGTAATTTATTTATTGTTTTTATACAAGTAAAAACATCTTCGAGTGATACTATCTTGCTGGTGAGTCAACAAAATCCATCTTAAAAATGTTAAGAATCACTGTAACAAGTATCTTACTTGTTGCAGGATATTTAATTAATGAATGAAAAAGAGACAAAAGCGTTTTCTGAATGAATTGAATTCTAATTTACTAAAAATGGATTTAGTTGAATTTTTTTTTGCATCTGTTTATAATGGTATCTTTATTGTGCAGTTTCTTACCTGAAAATGTATTGGAGAAGTTATTTTATACATTCTACAAGAAATCACCAATCCCAATAATACTCGGCTTAAAATTTGCCACTATTTTCATACCATAATTTCAGACTTCTAAACAAATATATCATGAGATCCTTCCGTACAATAATAATTTATTTATAATTTCTTATTTACTTTTTTAAGTAATTCCATTTCTTAATCATTACATTTTAATGACTAAATTAATAAAATTTAAGTAAATTTCAAACTGTACATTATCATTTTGAAGGCCAAATTTCCTAAATATTTTAAAATAAATAGCATTTATTTATAGATTAGAACTATCTGAATAAAGTTCATGTGTTTATGGGATTTTTTTAAAATTAAACACAATTTGCATTTGTTTGAGAAAACTTTTGTTTTATTTCTGCAATTACCACAATCATACAACTGCCAACTGTTGTACATATCTGGAATTGCTTTGCATAAATCTAACCAACATTTTTTACATACAGTATTCAAAGCATATAAAATATTTGTTAATATAGTCTTTGTTCAAAATTATAAATTAATAATAAACTTTTGTCAAAATAACAATCATTATTACGTTTCCAATCTGACTAATAATACGGTATAAAAATTCAATATAACTTGATATCAAGACTCTTTTGATATTATGTTTCAAACATGATATACACATCATAATAGTATTAATATAGTCCAAACAGATATAAACTAAGCATGAATTCATGCATTGAATACTGTGTGAACTTTTAAAAATACCATTGTTAATGTATTGCAGTATTTTCTTCTCAATACTGACAGAATATACCAAAGAATGAATGATAATTAGAAATATATTAAACGATACCAGACGGACGATATTCATGTGCAGAAAGAAAACACAAAATTGTTCAATAAGCAGACATATTGGAAAATCGAATAGTCATAAATTTAATAATGTAAACATCAAAAATCGAAAATTGGCTTTTGTTGACACATACTCAAACAAGCAGTGGAATGTTGCTAGAAAAAATATGCAACACAAAAATGCTCAAAAACAACACACAGTCTACACAATATTAAGAATTGAATTATTAAGCTTTTAAAATCTTAGGCTAAATCTTAAAATGATTTTTATAATTAATTACAAATGAATGAAATGTAAGTTTCGTGGATCGATATCATTTTGTTGCGTAGGAGCATCATCAATATTTGTTTATGTCGGACATCAAAAACAGTACATTTTTACAGCTATCACATTATTGGAATAAGAAATATGTTACTGAGATGAAATATAATGGGATGGTGTTTCCACCTTGATATCTACACGACAAAAATACTCTTCTCTATGCTACAAGTCTATTATTTCTACTATTATTATGAATTTACAGGAGAGCAATAATATACAAGGATGCTTGTGACATATACAGTTTTGTCTGTTTGAACATATTGCAATCATTTCTAAATTTTGCACCATCAACTTCAAAATTTATTTATATATTTTCTTTTGTATGAAAAAAGGTGTGTTTTTTCAAAACAAAATATATCATACATATCAAATTAACAGAGGCTTAGTATAAAATAACAAAATAATAATAATAATTTTGCACTGAACTATAAATACTAAACAAAATACATTTGTTTACATCATTCTTCCATATTATATTCTATCAATATATAAAAAAAAATCATAAGATATTAAATATAACAATATAAATTCCTCAACCAAAATAATTAAAAATAATGTAATACTGATAAATTACAATAATATATTGGATATAAAAACTGAACTAAAAACAATATCTTGAAAAGTAATTAAAAACAATTAGCTTGATTTGAAATTTGTCATGAAAAAAAATATTTTTAACTTTTCTTGTCAGAAATATTTGATATTGCAACCTTAGTAATCTGATTAGACGGAACTGCTATGGCACAAATATTTTCATTACTTTAATTTCTGTACATTCTTACTTATTCTATTAAACAATAATTGGTTTGATTGTACATTTAATGGTGGGAACTAATTCATTAACATATAGCTATTGTGAAAGATACTATTTAAATATTTTTAAGTGATCATTTTTAATAGGGAATCATAATTTGTGATCTGACAACAGCACCAAACTTATTTTATATTGTAGGCCAGAGAATCAGTAACATTTACATTTGTACAGGTTAAAAAAAAAATACATTTGTTTTCTTTTATATACTGTATATGTATATTTATATATATTTGTGTGTGTGTATATATATATATTTACACACACAATAATAATGCAATAAATGCAATATTCAAATAAAAACAAATCTTAATTAATTTGCTAATTTTCCAGGATAGTTTTGCAATGGATGGAGATATGCTGGTAATTTACAACAATTAATATTTAATGTGCTTCATATCAATAAACAACATTCCAAATTTCACTTTATACAACAATTTTTTTTTTTAGTTTTTTAAATTATAAAATTTAATCAATCTATAAACACAAAATAAATGATCAAGTGCATGTAACAACAATATTAACATCTAAAATGAGATAAAAATTCCAATAAATATATTGTAACTTGACCTGTTATTTATGAATAATTATTATTAACAATTTATAATCATGCATAGGCCATTTGTCATAGTAAAATCAGATTTTGCAAAATCATACATCAGGAATTTCTGCTAACAAATATCAATCTCATAATGTTCTAGCAATAAATGCATTGATTCCTTCTGTTTATATCAAATATAAAAACAAAAATATAATGTATATATATTTATATATAATAAACAAGTAAAAGAAGTAGCAAAACAATCATTCAAAGCTTTTCAAATTTAAAAATATCAGCATTAATAAATATTTCAGTTGAAAAAAACTAATTTGTTATATATATATTTATTTACACACCAATTTATTAATGCTCTTTTTTTTACTCAAGAATATATAAATATATGTATATATCAAAAGATATGTTGTTGAATAATTTCTAAAAATGTAACATTTAAATGCCAAAATTTCTTTACTTAATTATATAATGGAAGAAACAAATTGGAAGTATTATACTATAATACTTTTGAAAAATAATTTGTATAATCTCAGGAAGACCACAGTTTGATAAGCATACAAAAAATTTTCATATGCATTTTTTGGGATTTTTAATTTCAGGAAATATATATATCTTTTGATATGTTGTTGAATAATTTCTAAAAATGTAACATTTAAATGCCAAAATTTCTTTACTTAATTATATAATGGAAGAAACAAATTGGAAGTATTATACTATAATACTTTTGAAAAATAATTTGTATAATCTCAGGAAGACCACAGTTTGATAAGCATACAAAAAATTTTCATATGCATTTTTTGGGATTTTTAATTTCAGGAAATATATATATCTTTTGTTAATTTAGTCAAATATTAAAACTAATTTAATATTTTCCTGTAATACTTTTTAAACATTAGTAAAATAAATTTATCTATAATAACACAGCAAAATCATTTAGATCCCTCTTCATTGTAAACTCCAACCAGACATCCAAACAATGCAAAATTATATACTAAACTGCTTTGCCCTAAAATTATGTTTAATGCAGCTCGTAGTTAAAACTGCCACACTGTACCCACTCATAGGGCAGTTCAAATGTTGGCAGCAGAAAAGAGAATTGTGACAACTTGCAATTTCCCACAAGCACTATCTATTTAAATAAAAGCTTCACTCCATAAGAATAGAGATTTGGCTTTTAGATCTCTGATTCTCTGACAAAGAAAAAGATTTATTTAGTAGCCTGAGTCTGAATACCTGCTGTGCTTCCAACAGTTGAATTAACTGCTTTATCATTGGCCACGGGATGATCATTAGCATTTTCTATAGATGTTCCAGTATTTGACATTGCTAGTTTTCTCATTTGACGAATGACAGCAGTAACAATCATTATTACGTTTCCAATCTGACTAATAATACGGTATAAAAATTCAATATAACTTGATATCAAGAATCTTTTGATATTATGTTTCAAACATGATATACACATCATAATAGTATTAATATAGTCCAAACAGATATAAACTAAGCATGAATTCATGCATTGAATANTTGCATTATAAGCTTGCTATAAAAATAATTAATATTTGATTATTAAAAAACTATTATTTAACTATAAAAATTTAAATACTTAATTTTTAAAATAATTTAATATTAACATTTTATTTAAACAATAATTTTAAACTTTAGACATTTATTTTCAACTATAAAAAGCTTAAATCTGAAATTATATGCCATAATATAACATCAATTAAATCATACCTATATTATATATATGAGATTTTTCATTTTTGAATCTTTTCTCTTTAATTAATGTAACAAGAAAACTGGACTAATTTTCAGTTATTATGAAACAAAATAATTAAATGTGAGTTTATTATTTTTAATTAGTAGTAATTACTATAATTGTTCAATTTATTTTAAACATTTCCTAAATAAAAATGATTGATATATTTTTACACAGTTTTTATATATTTTTATATTTTCAGGCCAATAGTACAGTATTTGTAATGTAACATATAATATGTTACATTACAAATACTGTACTACACAAATTATTATTAATTTGTATATTTGTTAACATGAAATCAATATATCAAATAAAGTATATTACTGTACAATTTAATGAACTAATAGTGGGCATAAATAATTCTAAGTATTTTCTTTTTTTACATTATTAACATTATTAATTAACAAGTTTTTTAACTTTTTTAAAAGAAATGTAGTTGCTTACCCGCCATTTGGTTTTTGCAAAATTTTTTCTCAGCTGTTCACTGACAGATCCATGAATATTTTTATCACTTGCAGTATTGCCTGAGATCCTGTAATACATAAAATTCATCTTCTTACAAAAATATAATTCAAAATATGATAATTCATTTATGGCAATAATTTATTTCAGCCATATTTTTGATGCATGTGATAATTAAAGTACAGTATCTTCATTTTTAAAATATTTTCTTTCATTCCTTATGTTGAACAAAAGCATACTCAGCAAAATGAACAAATCAAGTAACTAACACCTTATTTGTTGCTGAGGGAGTTTATTAAAAACAAACGTTTTCAATCTACTCAATAGATCATCATCAGCTTAGAACATACGAAAATGGAACACATCATAAATGGAACATCATGTTTAAAATTCAAACATACAAAAAACCGATAACATACCAACTAATTAGAATAAAAATTAAATCGTAAATGATTCATAAGTGTAAAAATAAATAACATACTACAATGACTAAAAATGAATATAATCCACCATGAATATAATTCACCATAACCAAATAGAAGTTACTAAGTTTCCTTAAAGCAATTACGGATCATCTTTTGGTTCATGAGCTACTTGTAAGCTTTTTAATGGCAAACTTCAAAGCTGAGGGAAAACCCTCCGCATCTCTGGCGTTAATGCATCTTTCTTCAAGTTTGCTCCTGTATATTTCCAATTTTTTGGCAGTTTATGCTAAAGTTGGAGAGAGTACTTGTCTGATGACTTCCGCTTCCTCCCACCCAACCACGGATCCTTGGGCTTGAGCCATCTGGGCCAATATCGTTGTAACATAATATTTATGTTCTCTGATCCTTACCCCGAGGTTTCTTGTTGTAGCTTCTATGTATTTCTTTTTTAACCCTAACTGTTGGTTCTCGTAGGGGATCCTATAAACTCCTGCTTTATCTTCTTTTTTGATATTCCTTTATCATTTCTTAGAATTTTGTACAAATTCGGAGCTCTTTTCAAGATCAACGTTGAATTTTTAATTCCCGCAATTTCCTTCATGATGCCTACTAAATATTTGTTAAAAGTAAACTTTGTGTACTTAGTAGGGTCTTTTGTCGAGGTTTTTTTAAGTACATAAAGTTTACTTTTAACAAATATTTAGTAGGCATCATGAAGGAAATTGCGGGAATTAAAAATTCAACGTTGATCTTGAAAAGAGCTCCGAATTTGTACAAAATTCTAAGAAATGATAAAGGAATATCAAAAAAGAAGATAAAGCAGGAGTTTATAGGATCCCCTACGAGAACCAACAGTTAGGGTTAAAAAAGAAATACATAGAAGCTACAACAAGAAACCTCGGGGTAAGGATCAGAGAACATAAATATTATGTTACAACGATATTGGCCCAGATGGCTCAAGCCCAAGGATCCGTGGTTGGGTGGGAGGAAGCGGAAGTCGTCAGACAAGTACTCTCTCCAACTTTAGCATAAACTGCCAAAAAATTGGAAATATACAGGAGCAAACTTGAAGAAAGATGCATTAACGCCAGAGATGCGGAGGGTTTTCCCTCAGCTTTGAAGTTTGCCATTAAAAAGCTTACAAGTAGCTCATGAACCAAAAGATGATCCGTAATTGCTTTAAGGAAACTTAGTAACTTCTATTTGGTTATGGTGAATTATATTCATGGTGGATTATATTCATTTTTAGTCATTGTAGTATGTTATTTATTTTTACACTTATGAATCATTTACGATTTAATTTTTATTCTAATTAGTTGGTATGTTATCGGTTTTTTGTATGTTTGAATTTTAAACATGATGTTCCATTTATGATGTGTTCCATTTTCGTATGTTCTAAGCTGATGATGATCTATTGAGTAGATTGAAAATGTTCTTCGTTTTTAATAAACTCCCTCAGCAACGAATAAGGTGTTAGTTACTTGATTCATTCCTTACTTATAAACGATTTACAGTAAAATTATGATCTTTTGAATGTTTATCCTGTTCATATCTTAATTTCTAACAATATTCAATTAACAAATTAAGTACATGTGTGTACTTAGCACATGGGGTTTCCCACGTGCTAAGTACACACATGTACTTAATAAAGTCAAGAAAACGCTGTTTCCAATCTCTACGTTAACAAATAGGAGGGAAGTTATGTTTGTACAACCCGCCTTACCATACCTCGGTCCGCTTTCTCTACACATTTGCTGTATATTTAAACAACATGTTCTACTCCTGCCCCTATCTCCGTTACCTAACTTGTGCAGACTGCTCTGCAATGACTGAGACAAGTTTTCCACTCTCGAGAAGTCAGGAATTTATGTGGTTCCATTAGAAAATCCTGTAATGGGGAACAGCACGAGATACATTGGGGCCACGGCAAGAATGTTGGCTACCTGCCTGACCAAACACCAGGATGATATAGCAAAAGGAAGGTGCAGCACTGAACTCGCAAGAAGGGTATGCGACATGAATTATAACCCATTATGGGCCCACGCTACTATACTCAGGGCATGCAACGACCGAAGACTACTCTTTGTATGGGAGTCACTGTATATAACAACATTTGAAACGTGCAACACACCTTCTCTAGAGCTGCCTAACATATGGATCGCCCTATATAAACGATTAAACGGTGAGTTACATTACATGTTACATCACATGTTACGTCACTAACAGGAAGCAGTACCACGCATGCACCGTATTATGTCATATTCGTAACATTGCACGTAATTCAAATCGTAGCAAACTCATATCGAAAAATTGTTTCAAATTAAAATTTTTGTGTGTTCTTCTCTTGAATGTTCATGTTCGATTAAAACATTTTATTTGCCTGAAGACGATGGAAATACATTCGTCGAAAGCGCTCTAATGAACGAAAAAACGATTAATAACGCTGAACACAGTGAGTTTTAACTATTAAATAACTAAAAATGTTATTTTAGTGGCATGTTAGCCATGAAAATATCTATGTTTATCTTTCTTTTACATCTATACACGTGAATGGTGTTTGTATGTGGTAGTAGCCCCAAGTCTCCATTCGTGCACCAGGGGGGTTGCATCTCGATAGCTATAAGGGTGCGGGAGATATGGGCTTGAAAGTGGTTGAAAGTGGCTTTCTATTTCGAATGTTTTGTTCGAACAAATTCGAACATAAAATTCGAATATTGGTTCGATTATAGAACGATCGTAAATGTTCCAGAAACGTTGAAAATAGTTTGTTTGACTGGACGTGAACAGGAGATGTTCAGAAATAGAATCGGGACCAGGAAGTGTTAATATAAAGCGGCATGCAAGATTTACAGGTGGTTTTTTGCGCTTTTGAGGGAAATCGAACATATTTTTATGCTCATGTAAAAATTCTCTGGAAACGTCTAGAAACGGGAGACCTAATTCTTGCATTTTGTGAAAATGGGTAAGATTGGTTATAATGTAATTATCTTAATCTTCACTATCATTACTTTTTGCCCACAAATAAACACCCAGTGAAGTGGGTCCTTGCAGCTAGATTCTAGATTACTTAGAAAAACAGTCTTTTATATATAAAAGAAAAAATTATATTACATACAAATAAAAACCCAGCGAAGCAGGTCCTTGCAGCTAGTTATATATAATTTTAAATACACTGAAATTTTTTCACCTCAAATTAGCCTAAAACATTGGAATAGATCACATTCGCGTATAAGCTTCAACATCGCCAAAATATTAAACAAAAGTACTGTTTAACTTTTTCAGTAATTAGGTTTATTACAATGTTTTAATTTAAAATTAAGTGGTTTTTATTTTAACCACGTTTATGATTATTTACTTATTTCTCTTCTATGTTTATCATCAACTGTATTTATTTGCTAAAGTATAGCAAATAAAATATCACTTTTTTTACAAGATACAGTAATACCCCGAACTTACGTGATAGGTGGGACTGAGCGATAACCGCGTAAGTCAAATTCGCTAAGTCGGGGTATAATTTCTCAATGTGTGTAAAATCCAAGTCGGATGTATGTAAGCTAATAAATGTTCTCGTTAATCTTATCTCGTCTTTTGATTCGTTCATTGTTACAAGAAATCACCATATAGAGTCTGTCGAGTCTCCCTAGATATAACAAACACAGAAATAAATAACACTAAATAAATTGTAGATATGTGTCAATTCCGCACGACACGTCCGAACATGTAAGTTGAACAATAGTGTGGAGGGAATGAGTAATCAAGAGTTGCCTGGTGCTCAAACAAAAGACGAATTGACCAGATTTGAAAATTGCGTAACTCCGGGTTTGCGTAAGTCTGGGTAGCGTAAGTCGAGGTATCACTGTATATACAAAGTACAATAAATATATAAATATATATATATATAGTGCTTTGTATATAACATTGTAATTGTAATTATTGAAAACATTATGAAAAATTTATCAAAGTAAACATATACAATAGCAAAATACAACTGTATTTAAGAAAAATAATAAAAACAACAGTAGACAAAAAAATTATGAAAAATAAAATATATAGTAGTAATTAACAAAAGTATAAAGGAAAGACACACCTAATTACTGAAAAAGTTAAACACTACTTTTAATAACAGTACTATATATATATACTTAATTTTGTAATATATACAAAAAATCCAGCAATCCATGCAAATACATTGTTAAAACAATGTAAGCAGAAAACAATGATTTAAATTATTATGGACTATTGTATAATTCTACATACTATTCTCCTAAAAGTGAATTATTGTATTAATTACATCATTATTAAGGACTAACAATAGAAAATTCAAAATATGTTAACTTTTCTGTTTGTGATTTATAATTCTATTTGTTGCCATAGCAACAATTTCAAATAATTAGTATAAGAATTACATTATCAATTTTATTAAACTAATTGTTATTGCTTTAAACAATGAATGAAATAGACTGTTGAAAAGCAATTGTTGACGAATAGCTAAAAAATCAAAAACCAAAACAGTTCATAACTAAAGAGCTACAAATTTCCCAAAGTACAGTGGATAGAGTGTAGGGATTGCAATCCAGCAGTGTTTTCAATCAAGCTGGATTTTTGCTGGATCAATATCATTCCAGCTGGATCCAGCGCGGATCCAGCGCAAATGTATTTTTGGTGCAATAAAGTGTTATCTATCTATCTATTTAGCATTTTATGGTTTTTTTAAAGAAATAAAACATTTTTTTAAATACTTAAAAACCTTTTATTATTTAGACTGTTCACTTTAAATCAGTAAAACGTCTTACACATTTAGGTAGTAAACTTAACTTTGGTTCGGTTTAACACTTGAGATAGAGATAATTAACTATAAATGTTTAGTTAAATTATAATTATAATGTAATAAGTTAAATAATAGCAAAGGTAATTCTACTAATTAATTTACTTTAATATATTATATTATAATAATGTAAGGATGGATAATCAGTGGCTAAGTGGCTATCAGTCTTACTAGTTTTCTTATATAGGCTCTACATATCAGTCTGTAGTTATTTATAAGTAATTTAACCACTTATAGAATAAAAGTTAAATACTCTTACTTAATAGAATTAGAGAAGAAGTTATAAAATATCAGTCTTGTCTTGAATAAAGTATTTTAAAGGATTAAATAAAATTAAATCAATCACTTATTTTTTTGTGTTATTTTTTTATTTCATTTTTTTTTTTATCATCAAATATGTTTTTGTTATCAAATATTTCTTTGTCATTTAACATGTTATCATGTTATTTTTTTGACTTTTCTGGAAGTAGGATCTCAAAAAACAAATAGTATTAATGGTGTTGTCTCCCAACCTACTTCTTAATGCACTGCATATATATCCCGCTGCAGAGAAGGCCCTTTCAGCCTCTACGCTAGTTGGTTTCAGGGTCATCAAATAATTATAAATCAAAGATAAGTTTTCATCTCTGACTCCCTCATTTTCATAAACAGCCATTTCCTTTTTTAATAACTTATCATAATCCTTCTCAGTACTAGTTTCTTTCCGTTTCATGAAGTTTTCTTTCTCACGCTTTAGTTGGATCTCCAATTCTTGTTCCAAGGTGAAATTCAGGGAATACGGGTTATCTGGATCATCGCTTTTCACCTCTATAATCTCCTCTGCCATTGCTGCTGGTTCCACTATATATGTATTTACGCGATTCACTAAACTAACCAAGTTTGATCCAAATCGTTAAAACTATTTTTGTGGTAAATAATTCAATTTTCATTTAAGATCATGTAGCGTGTCACAGACGCCCCCTGGCATTTTTTTTAGTCGCAATTTTTCCAAAATTTTTCAAAAAATTTTAAAAAATTCAAATTCTCTAATTTCTTCGAGCTGCGAAAAATGAAATAAATAACGTTTTTATTGCGCACCAAGTTTATTCAGGAAAAAAAGTCGAAAAAGTGCCGGTGTCTCGCAGCTGAAGCGGCGATCCGTCACGTGATTCATTGACGTCACAACCGACCGTAAATTATAATTATGCACCAGGACTAGGAGAGGATGCTACTTATTTTATTTAGCGCAAAGACATTTTATTTAGCGAGAGCGAAAAGTCAACTGTCAATTAGATCAGCAGAGGTAAAAGGACGGGTGGTGCGGTGTAGAGAGGGAGTGTAGCACGTGCTGCACTAAATGGCAACGTCGCTCTTGCAGCCGAGCGATAGCGCACTTAGCAAAGCGGTAACGCTTACAACGTAGACTTTTGCACCATTATTTAGAAAGTTAATTGAATATTTGCGGATCCAGCAGGCCGAAAAATGAGCTGTATCCAGCTGGATTGCTGGATGAGGGATCCAGCAATTGCAATCCCTAATGGAGTGTTAAATCAGTATCATAAGATATTGTCCATTTCTTGAAAGTCGGGTTTCAGTGGAAATTATGGTGCTTGCAGCCCACAACAAGACCAAAAAATAAAGTAATTTCCAAAAATCAGAGTATGTCAGTGAGAGATGTTGCAATAAAATGTGAAACTAGTCAAACAATGATTCAAAGGGCTAAGCAGCATGCAAGTTTGAGAACAAAAGGTGGTAATTAAACCTAGAGCTCAAAAATTGTATTCTTTACTTGGCTAGAAGAATGCTTGTTTGGTTTTAGATGACAAAACATATGTGAAGGCTGACTTCTCAACATTTCCAGGCTCATGCTATTATACAGTGTTTCAAGGAGTTCTTCCAGAATCTCAAACATCAATCATTCAGTGTCAAAAAGTTTGGCTCAAAATATGTGATATGGCAAGCATTTTTGCCAATGTGGATTGAAAAATTCTTCATTTGTAACAAAAGGAAATAGTAGTGCTGAAATCTATATTAATGAATGTTTAAAAAATCTTTTTCTTACGTTTTTAAGAAATTATGGTGCCATACTTTGTTTTGACTAGATTTGCCAACAGTACACTATGCAAAATCCACAGTAAGTTGGCTAGAACAGCACAGTAAATTTTGTAATTAGAGACATGAATCCACCAAACCTATCACAATGCCAAGCAATAGAAAAATTTGGGTATCTTGTAAAAAATAAACTAATAAAAAACAGAACAAACTGCAAAAGACATGAAATATTTTTCTCTGAAGTGGAAAAGAACAGTCACAATGGTTGAAGGAAATACTGTCTAAATCTTATGAAGAGCATTTGAAAGAAACTTTGAAAGAAATGGAGCAAAATTTGAATGTTATAATTATTTAAATCATAAATGTATTTTAAAAACAAACTTTTATTTAAAAGTAAAATCTTTCCGATTACATTACAAATAAATATGTCTGTACCTTTTGATTTTATAGATTTCTCTTGTTAGTCATTATTATTATTATTTTGAATTATTGTAATCCAATAAATATAATTGTTAATAGTGATTTTATGCAATTTTTGAGAAATTTAACATTAATAATACAATATAACATACCAAGGATGGGCTAGTGCTTGTTTACATGTATACCTTTTCTCCATGTCTACACAAATTAGATGTCGAATAAAATCTTTTGCTACATTTCGTCAGGAAAAATAAAAACTATGAATATATTTGTATTCATAATATATTGCATTAATTTATTAATATTGAAAAGTTTATATTTTTGCTATAACAAACATACCAGATTCTGATATATCATCCCAATATGGTGAATCAAATTCAAATTCTCCCTTTAAAATCTGTGCAAATAGATTGGCATCATTTTCATCATAAAATGGTGGATATCCACACAACCTACCAAGATTTAAAAATTTGTTGTTTAGATAATAATTCAACAATTTTAAACATTTTAAACTTGTTTTTTCACTAAATACAATGACTTTTCATGATATATCAAAAAAATGAAAATCTGAAAAATAAAATTATTTTGTTAAATCTTCATTCATTCTATATAAAAATCCTTTTATATCTATTTCTATAACATAAAATGATAAAATCTGTTCAGATTTTTAAGACAATGCATTAGTCAAATTTATACTTTGATATCAAATTGTTATTACAATATAGGTTGAGAATCCTTTATTCAAATTTCCAAAATCCAAAGATATTTTTGAATGCCAACATGACATTCCACAAAACACTGGAAATATTATAGTGTTCTTTCTCCAGGCCTTTTTTTACCTGGAGAGAGAACACTAGAACACTGGAGTCATGTCCAGGTGGTTTTTCTGGCTGCCTAACTAATAAATTTCACAGGAAGTATAAATACATACAAAAGGTGTATACTTTTCCTATTCCTGGTTCAATTCAAATTTTTAATGCATGTTTATTGGAAGATTAAAAATTTAACAAATATGTTCTTTCCAACAGAATCAATTAACACCACTATGTAAATATATCTAAAATTATTTTAACATATCTATGTGAGTGTCTTTTAAAAATATTATCACATGTCCAAAATAAGCAAGTTTTAAAAAACATATTTACATAGATATGTGAATTTTTTTTTTACTTTCAAAAAATTAATACAAATTCCTAAATAAGTGACCAGGGGAAAAAATCAAATCAGTCATTCCAAAGATGTCCCATTTTATAGATTCAAATATACAAATATTCCAAAATCTGAAAAAATCCAAAATTCCAAGCATTTCAGATATAAGATTCTCAACCTGTATTATAGACTATATACCATTTGAAATAGGTAATTTTTGTTAATACTTTGACTTCAGCAAACAAATTTTCTCTAACAGCCATTAGATGAATTTTAGAATAATTCATAATAATCAATCAACAAAATTTTTAAGGGGTATAATCTTTTGATATGGAAGGACCTTCCATAAATTGTATATATATATATACACACACAATATTGTTGGTATTATATTTATTAGATATGACCTCTAAAATTTAGATCTAAATTTATGCTTTCATCTTTAAAGTTAGTATATTTGAAATTATCTTGATGATAGACATTTTATATCATTTTGCATAAAAATATATCAAGTCTTTTGCAAGTCAATAAAAAAATATATGATAATTTGTCAACTCTTCCTGGTTAAATTCTTCCTGTGGTACTTATATAAATAAATAAATGGATAAATATACAAAGTAATATTAACATACAAAAAACCAAACAAATGAACTGGATGAATAAGTAAGAAATCACCACAATAATAAAATCAGCAAATAAAGGAAAGAACACTTAAATAAAACTAATGTTTTCAACTGACTTTATTGGCCATTATAAAATTTATAATGAAAATACCATTGAACAGAAAACAGAATATATAAATTTGATTAAAAAGAATAATTATTTATTTGAAAGTTGCCATTTCCATCATTACTTGCATATTAAAGAATTTAAGTTTTTCCCCTGAAATAAATTTTCATGCACATAAAACAATGTCCATTTCTTTATAATTTATAGCTGATGCATTTCTACTAGCCTTATAAATTTCAATTCTCTCCAGGTGTTTGAGTTGGGCTTTGTCCCAGGTGTGATGAGGCCCATTTAGACAGAGCACATCTACTACCAGGACAAAGCCCAACTCAAACAGCTGGAAAGAATTAAATTTATAAGGTATCAGCTATAAATAGTAATATAATAGTATATAATAGTAGAAATGCATCAGCTATAAATCATAAAAAAAGCAAACACATGCAAGGAAATTTATTTTTGAAATAGCTTAAAGAGTTCTTTAATATGCAAGTGATGATGTAAACAGCAACTTCTAATCAAATAATCATTCTTTTTAATCAAATTTATATTCTATATCATCTATATTCTATTTTATGCTTGACGGTATTTTTATTATAAACCACAGAATGCCAATAAAAGTCAGTTTAAAACATTAGTTCTATTACAGTATTCTTCCCCTTATTTGCTGGATTTTGGTATTGTGGTAATATTAACATTCTGATTAGTTCAATAAATTCATCAAAATACCATTGTATAACAATAATTACGTAATGATATCCTAAACAAGCTTCACTAAATTCATTGAAATTATTATATAAAAATATCAATTTAACAATTTATTATATCAATTTATTAATAAAAATAAACTTACAAGATGTATGCAATTACACCTATTGACCATACATCAACTGCTTTACCATATGGTTTCTGAGCTAAAACTTCAGGAGCTGAAATAAAATTTAATTTGAGCTGTTAAATAATATAAATTAAAACTTAAATCTATCATTATTATTAATGTATAAAAAATTTAGTTAAACTTATTACATTATTATTAAAATATGTGTCATAAATTTTTATAATTATTACCAAATTTTTTGATATCATAACACTTTCAATAAAATATCAGGTCAGTCTATAAGTTCATGCGTATTTTATGACCTTGAGAAAAATCGTGTTTTGCTGATAAAATTGTCAGTCTAATGTGATATTTTTTATACTGAAGTGTTAAATTGGATCTCATTCATATAATACTGTTCAGAATTGGGAACATTTCAGTTGTTTAATTTCGTTAAAATGGAAGTAACAGATGAATATAAGAGACATGTTTTATACTTTTTATTTTTAAGTGGTGAGAATACTACAAATGCAGCCAAAAAATTAAATAATGTTCATAATCAAACTGTAATTAGTATAAGGACTATGCAGAAATGGTTTGAAAAATTTAGAAATAATGATTTTAGTGTGGAGGATAAGGCTTGTACTGGAAGACCCGTTGACTTTGATGATGATGCTCTCTCTGCACTACTTGAAGCAGAACCATCTTTAACAGTTGATGAAATTGCAGAACGTTTAAATTCATCCCATGGAACTGTTCATAGACATCTACAACAAATCGGAAAAGTTTCAAAGCTAGGAAAATGGATACCGCATGAACTGTCAATAGCTAACTGACAACAACGTGTAAACATTTGCACGTCTCGTTTATCCCGCATTACTTTAGAACCTTTTCTTGATCGGCTGGTTACTGGAGACGAAAAATGGATCCCCTACAATAATGTGACGTGAAAAAGACAATGGACAGATCGTGACAAGCAGCCAAAACCGGCTGCAAAAGGTGGGTTGCATCCAAAAAAAATTCTTTTGTCTGTTTGGTGGGATATGTCAAGTGTAATTCTCTTTGAGCTGTTAGAACCTAATCAAACAATTACAGCTCAAATGTATTGTGATCAATTAGAGCATTTAAATGAAAAAAAAATCAACCGTCATTAGTGAACAGAAAGCAGGTTCTCCTGCAACATGACAATGCCAGACCACATGCTGCAAATAACTGTAGAGAAACTCAAAAGCTTCAACTGGGAAATTTTACCTCATCCACCATATTCGCCAGATATTGCTCCCAGTGATTATCATCTTTTTTGCAGTTTGCAGAATTTTTTAAAAGAAAAACTTTTGAGGATGAGAACAATGTAAAAAAGGCTATTTCTGAATATTTTGATTCAAAACCGAAATCATTTTACAAAGACGGGATTAAAAAGCTACCATCAAGATGGCAAGAAATTGTACAGAATAATGGTGAATACATTATAGATTGAAATAAAATTTAATTAAAATTTTTTGTTGCTTTTTTTGTAGATAAAAATATGCATGAACTTATGAACTGACCTGATATTAATTATTCATGAATTATTTTCTTTGCAATTATATTTTTGACATGACTATGTCTTGTTTATAAAATTGTGGTGCCGTCAATGGCTTATCATCTTAGAGCAGTGTTTTTCAACCGGGGTGCCACGGCGCCATGACTGGGGTGTCGCAAAGTTTAGAGCCTTTAGACATTTTCTTGGAAATTTACTTAAGATAACTCATTGTCAGTTCTATTTTGCTACGAGATATCTAGTAAGTAAAGAAACTATGACTAATCATGTTAATGTAATGTTCTACGCTACATGTACGCATGACTTGTCACGAGTTCGCCCAAATCACATTGTTTGGCCTTCACGTTCCCAGTCCCAGTACCAGGCCAACCACCAGAGAAGAATGACGTGGACACTTGTGTCTTGTATATACTTTAAAAAGCATTGCATTGTACTTTGAAAAGCGTGTGGTTTCAATCACAAAGTAGATGCATATTCAGTAGCGTACTGTGGGTGTCAGCCGCCCGGGGCGGAGGAAAATTTCGCCCCCCCTTATTTAGGTATTTCAATTTAAAAGACTAAAATTCAGTTTTGTCACATTTGAACAAGCAATGAAAAATTCCATGCTATTGCAGCAACCTGTTTAAAATAGCTCTAATCGATATTAGTGGTGTATATGAACGCGAATGAATCGTACAAGCAAAAAAAGAAAAAAAGGTCAACAGGCTATGTAGAATTTCCTCCGATGAAAAAATTACTACTTCACCCGGACGGCAAGCGGATTCCTGGACTGTCCGGACGATAGCACTATCGTAGGCGCGACACAAATGTAGATTAGGATGGTTCAAATTTTTACAAGATATTATTATTATTTATTGTGAAATTTTGCAGCCCCCTAAAAAGTGCCACCCGGGGTGGGCCACCCCTGCCACCTCTACTACGGTATGCCACTGTGCATATTACAGTATTTTCATGGTATTCAAAAGCAATGATGACAAATAAACAATTTTTATAATTTTTTTAATTTAAATTTTTTAAATTGATATGAAAAGGATAAGAAAAAAGTAATGAAATATTTATTTTATATATGCATCAAAATAGTATAAAAAACTTTAAAAAAATTGTTTATCAATAAAATGATAATATAAAATGATGATACATTTGATAATAAAACTATATTAAAAAAACAATAGCGAGACTATTATTTTACATATAGGTATTTCGACAAAATTCAATGAACTTAAATTTTGATTTTGAACACGTAGAAACACTTTTGCGTTGCGCGTAATATTCGTTTTCGCAAAAAATTCATCTGGCCCATTAGTCCCCCCTTATTCGGTGTACGAATANTTAGTCCCCCCCTTATTCAGATTCTAGATCAGCCGCTGGTCAAGGGTGTCACGATTTGTTATTTTTCAATTAGGTGTGCCACTCAATGAAAAAGGTTGAAAAAACACTGCCTTAGAGGTATGAAGGAGTATATGTCAGGAGTTGCAATTTGGCACAGATTATTAGGTGCCACATAATGCCGCATAAAAGAAAACCAGACTTGTAGTTACTCAGGGGACGAGAACTGAGTCAAAATAAAATTCAAAACGGAGGCACTCTCTACAAACAGGCAGTAGTGTGAGATTTACGCATGCGTTGCTCATTGGAAATGCAAATGTTACAAAATCGAATTTTGACAAATGTGTACGTTGGGAAGTTCGAAATCAGAAATCTAATTTTGACAAATGAATCTTTGAAAAACCCATTTACCTGTCCCATGTTATTCCCGGCATATCTCTGGTCGCGACATGCTGACCTTCACTGGTTGACTCAACTCGTTTCAGCAACTGAACTTTTTTTCAAAGTAGATGGCGATAGTCTAACGACTATCGCCATCTAATTTTATATTAAAACTAACTTCCGAAATATATTTTGTTTTAATAATAATATAATTTGTTTTTTTGTGCAAAATAAAAAAATAATAATTTCAGATGATATGATAGCCAGGATTACTTTTTTCAAAAACGGGAAATTTTCGTTAGGCATTGACAAAAATTCAACCCAAGGCAACATGCAATGCTGAGAAATTTCTAAATTAGATAGGTTAATTTCACCGAAAATGCATCATGGACAACCTCGTGGTGTGGCCGGAGAAGTTTGAAAGATCGCATCAAAACCAGCAATACCAAAGAAGATTGGAGAATGAGAACGAGACCTGCCCTAAGCGTCAAAGTGATTCCACTTAGTAGTGAGTCTCTGAGACATAGTCTTGTCCCAAATACAGCCTTGCTGTTTTACTTGTTTGTAATATTATTGCAAAAAATAGTGAAAGCTATTAAAGAAAATTTGGCATAATCATAAGTTTCTCCATAATATATCAATGATATGATTTATTTCACTTAAATATGAATGTAATATTGAAGAAGTAAATGTAAGTGTAAGAAGCAAAAGAACACAAACTAAAGTAAATTACTACAAAAAACAGTCTACTAGTTTTTTACTCTATTAATTTACTAAATATAAGACAAAATAGTCATCTAATTATCTAAAGTTATAAGAAAACTCAATTTAATTAATAATTCAAGAAACTAAAAAAGAAAAAAAAACGCAGTTGGCTCAAAGAAAATTCATATACAGTAGAGCATTGTTTATCCGAAAGTCTGTTATCCGAAAGAATTCCAGTCGGCCTAAAGTATAATTATTTGTTTTTACATTTTTCAATGTATTTATTTCATTTGTAAAACATAAAGAAATCATTTTTAATGATACAATAGCCACGATTATTATTTTAAAAAGTTTACGTTAGGCTTAACATCGACGAAAATTCAACGCAAAATGACACGCAATGGAGAAAAATTTCAACACGGGATAGGTTAATATATTTTTTCGTACATAATCGGTTATCCGAAAAATAAGTTATCCGAACAACCCCAGTCCCCAATTGATTCGGATAAACGATGCTCTACTGTATTCAACTCTTGCAAATCAACAACATTGCTAATGTATAATATAACAGATAGTTACAAATATCAGAACATTATTTCAAAATTAATCAAACTGTATTCATGACAGCTCAAAATATGTACAAGTATATCAATAAAAATCACAATAGTACTTTTTCATGAAAATATAGTAAAAACAATAACTGATAACATTTGACAATAGATAAATATAAATTTTAATTTTTTTAGTAAAATTTTTCATTCAATTCTCAGTTTTGAAACATGAGAAATTTAGCATAAGAATTTATTACAAGCTCATCCACAGATTAAATAATGCAATTAAAATACAGTATGTACAAAATTCATTTAAATTGCATCTACACTGTTCTCAAAACTTCCTGAAAATGCAAATGTGTTCATGAAATATGAGATTTAAAAAAAATCAATGATTATTAAATAGTTGTAATTCATGTTAAATATATTAAATACATGATTAAGAGGTATTTAATAATCAACATAATATGAATTAGAATCATTTAAACTAATGACTTATTTTGCATCATAATTACAGAGAAATCATGATGCACTTTGGATTATTAATCATAGCTATTCAAATTCATATTATTTATTTGTTATTGATATTCAGCAGAGAGCATCAGTAAC